AGGATCACTTGAGCCCAGAAGGTTGAGGCTGCAGTGAGCTGTGATTGTGCCACTGAATTCCAGCCTGGGTGACAGAGCGACACCCCAACCCCCTTTGTGCCCCCTCCCCACACAAAATTCTTAAATACAGTAGCTGTTTAAACACCCAAACTGACGCTGTCCTCCTCTTGCTCCTCAGGATATCTGGAGTTTAATTCCCTTGTTACCTTCCTTTCCGTTCATTCTTAGTCTACAGCTGCCTAGATGGTTCTTTCTAGCCTCCGATTCCTACCTCTCTCCTTTTTTCCCATTTTATGTCTTTTTAAAAAAGTCTTAATGCTTTGATATGAAATATGTTATTAAACCAGAGTGTCCCTCTCCCCCTCTACTGAACTATTTTAATGGAAAGTATAATTTTAGAATGTGTTTTTTACAATGTTCATTATTATATATTTTCTGTTAATATCTGTACCTGTTTTTGTCAAAGTTCAAGACGTTTTTGTTTTGTTTGTAGACTTAATCAGCTTCTGTTACCATTATAGCATTGTGGATACTGATTGTTTACTGAATAAAATGCCACTTTGATCTTGAAATTAACTGATTCTTATTAGGTCAGTTTGTGAAATTAAATGAAAAAGAGAGAGAGTTTTCTATTCTTGGTTGTTAGTAATTTTATTACCAGAGCAAGAAACTAGGATTTCTTCCTCATGCATACTCAAGTAATGGCCTGTTCTCACATACCAGAAAGAAACAATCAAAGAACAAATTCTTCCTTGGAGAAGATTGGGCACACCTGGTGTCCAAGACCTTGTAGAAAAGGCACTTGAAACAGTGAATTGTTGAGGAAATCTCATATATGCATAAGTGTACTACATTTTAAGCAAATTATTATTTGAAACTTGCAAGCTTTCCTCGTGGGAAGGCTTCATTTGTTTCTCAAAGAATTTCCAAATAGTTTCTTTAGAGCATTTAACACATTTAGTTAACCAATATTTAGTAACCAGTACAACTTCTCGGAGATAGAATTGTTTTGTATGGAAACATACCTGTTTAATATTCCACAAAATTTGAAAGGACATGGAATTACCATTGGAATGCTTGGTGTGTTATCTTTGTGGAGTCTGATGTGGAATCTTTGCATAAATTACCTCTGCTTATGTGGTCAGATGGGTAAACTACGTTAGCATTGGCCTTTCAAGCATCAGTGAAGACAGGACTTCATTTCTCCTCTTGGCACCTAGCACAGTAGTTGGCATTAACTGGGAAAGCTATGGATGTCTCAAGGACTTGGGCCCCCTCAGGATGGTCAGGGGTACTCAGACTAAGAGGGGAGGGCAAAAGTCTTTATATAGATAGAGTGAGCAGACTTGCAGTGTCTTGAGCCTGGGGGCACCTGGACACATGTCCCCCATCACGTGTTTGGTTTGCCTATGGTCAGTTAATTTTAAGAAGTTTTTAGGAGTTGATGGCAGAGCTGGAACTGGACTACGGCTCTCCAGGTCCCGGTCCTGTGTTTTTTCACTACTCCACCCTGCCATTGCCGCAGGACAGTTGGTTCCTGGGGCCCTTGTGGGCTCAATAACTTTCTTTTAATACTCCTGGAAATATCTAACAGTTCATTAAGTAGGTCCAAACATCTTAATAAGTGTTTATGTCCTAATAACCTGGTAGCTGTTTGAAAAAAGTTATACATATGAGTGGAAAGAATACATGTTTTTATTTCATTCTTAAATATTCCCAATTATTCACAGTGAGTCCTCATGTAACATCATCCATAGGTTCTTGAAAACTGTGACATCAAGTGAAACAAAGTATTATGAAGCCGAGTTTACCACAGGCTAATTGATATAAACAAGAGTTAAGTTACTGGGGACTATTTCTGATCAGAAAAACATCATCAAACTTCCAAGCAAAAACCCAAAACACTTCTAATATTAAACACTGACATAAATATGAGCTATACATACATTTAAGAAAGGTTAATAAAAAGAGGTATAATTATTTACCTAATTTTTGGAGAACCTGTAAGGGATGGCAATTATAATGGTGGTGGATTAAGTCAAGGAATAAATGTTTGCAAAGCAAAAATTTTAAGGAGCACTTCCTATGGTGCAGTTCAAAGACATGAATAGGGTAGGCTCGCTGATTATTTTTGTACTGCATCATTTATTTTTGTGCATTTGTATGATTTTCATACACTTTGTTAATTTTTATTTTACAGTAATTTGTATTCATTCATTCATTTTGCGTCCTGCTTATTCCAGTTCAGGTGAATGTTAAAATTTTTTACTTGCCTTGTCTGTTTCCAAACTGGCTGGGGTGTTTCATTTAATGATTGAAATGTTACATCTTTCATCATGCCTTCCCCAATGATTGACAGGCGAAATAGATCCCAGACTTGCAGGTTCCCTGACCCCTGTCATACTCCCCACACAATAAGTACTTTAGTCCTTTGTCTTTACACAGAAGTGTAGTTGTTCATTGCTTAATTGTATGTATATACCTGGTATATGTACTTGGATCACCTTGTACTCTGATACTACAGGGACCTTGGTTTTCCAACTCTGTTTGTGTCTGTATCTACCCTGGCATTGTTCTCACATACTAAACAAATACACGTGACAAGGTGCAGAGTATTGCCTCCTTTATTCCACTTGCTTCCAACATCACATCATAGGCAGTCAAGTTCAGATTCTGGAAGATTTATGCTAGGATCACTTTAGCCTGTTCCTGTATTGTCACTTTTTTGGCCTAATGCAGTTGTACTCAATTTCTAGAAAAAGTTGTTTAAAAGAAGCAACTATTTAAAAAACAGCTTCTGTTGCTGTAAAACCTTCCAAGAAAAAATAATTATTGTCTATTAATATTGCTTATTATCTCTGATATAAGGAGCTATTAGGGAGACAATAAATTATTTTTAAGGAAACAAATGCCTTACCAAAAGAACTGGTAAGCTTCTTCCTTTTTAATAATATTCCTTTTTAATAAACATTTCTAACACTTATTTTCCTGCCTTTGTTGCCCGTAGGCTTAGAGCTAATTCTGATAATCAATGAGAATAGCTGTGTTCCTTTTTGTGCCATAAAGGGAGAGGTGATGCTGACAGTCTCAGTGGGGCACGGACTCTTTGAGGTGCATACACTGTCTCAATGACACCCTT